AAGTCAAATTACTAAGTCTATAGTTTCATACGAATTAAAAAGTCGTAATGCAGATATTGACAAGATAGAATGTAAAATAAAAGGTCTTGTCTTTTCCATTTGCTAAGATATTGCTCACGTAATAAATCAAACATAATGGCACCTCACTCTCCTCCTTCCATTTTTGGAAACACTCCCTTATGAACACTTCTATATATGACATGAATAACCAATCAGAAGCTCAAAATGTTCCCCTAGTGGTTTTCTAATATACATGTATCATTTCTTTCTTTTAAATCAAGATTTCAATGAGGTAGGTTGTGTCTTTAGTCTGCTCAAAATTTCATATTTTTTTAGATCCAAATACAGCTTAAAAGTACTACGTTTGATAAATTATAGTAGCATTCTATGGTATTGATGTCGTAATTTATGATTTTTTAGTTATTCAAAAGTACATATAAAACCTAAAAAAAATATTTTGTTTCATGTCCTCCACGTGCAAACTTTTTAAAGGCTTAGCAACCTACATCAAGCAGCAACCGAGTGCAAAGATCATGACTAGGGGATAATTGTTTGCTTTACTTATTTATTTACTGTTCTATGTTTTGGGAAAAATTACTTTAAGAACTTATTTCAAAATAGCAATAATCTATATACATGTATAATGTATAATAACTGAAATGTGACAGTTATTTTACAAAATACTAGTCAACTAAAACACAGCCGAGACAAGTTACTTTGTACAGACCAAAAGTCACCTTTATGTTATTTGATACCATAACACGAGTGCATGTGAGCCACATCGTTGTAACTTTTGTGTTGTTAGCCAAGCATGGGTGAAAGGTCAATATAATAAAAATAATAAATATATATAAATGTATAATATTATGAGACTTAAGCTATTTCATCTAAACATTTATGTTTTCATGTTATAATTTGTGTTCATTCTAGAATGAAAGAAGCATAATTTATGTTTATTTCCTACTTTTTTTATGGTGATTGTGAGATCGGTCAAATTTACCGAACCCATACAGAAATTAATTACTGAAAATAAAAGATAAAATAAAGCTTTTTCTTAAGAAACATTTGATAACTATTTGGACATTATAAAGATTTTGCATGTGAAATTTCAAAATTTTCTGATGCATAAAAGTATTTGTAATCCTAAAATGTAAATTACTTTGCATGTTGGATAGGCAAGATGACAAAAAAAAAAGGCATGAGAAAAACAGTGCTTAACAAACCTTAAGACTTAATAGAAAAAAATATTTTGTGTATGAAAGCATTGTAATGCTTACTGATAAACTGCTAAATTTCATTAACATTCACTTACAAATTTACAAGTTATAGCAAGAAAAATATAATAAGCACAAAATGGTTATAAGGTCGGTCCCAGGGGCTGAGTCCAGGTTTAAAAAGTTAAGGGATAATAACAATGTGTCAATAGGTTTGGTCAGCCTAGCTCCCATGGGGCCCAGTTGTGCTTGGTATGTGTCAACATGGGTACTTAGACATCAGGTGGAGTTCTGGGATTATACTGTAGCTACCAGAACCTTAGTCAACCTTGTGGGTGTATCAGGCACTTCAAGAAAAGCCATCATTCTGCCAATAATACTTTAGTTCTTGCAAATGGTGAAAACTTAGACATGAATGTAAAGGCACATTTTTGATTACAACTAGATAATTTCACTTACAAGAAGAAAGCATTTGTTTCCAATTTTAGAATTGGGATCCTAAGGATGGACATATAGTGGGATTTATCAAGCAGTTTTGCCTGTGCAACAGGTGAACTTTATTTCTGTACAAAAGTCACCCAATAATGACTAAATCATACTGATGAGCAACTGACTGCAGGAAAGCAAGTGAGGAGGGAGTCATTGTCTTTTACCCACAGAAGTGGTGTTCCATGGTATACTATGGATGGTCTAGTGTGCTGTCCCTTTAAAATGTGGTGATGGAATCAATGTAAGAAAAGGACAGTTTTTTGTATAAAAATTTGGCAGCATTGGCTTGAACATTTATCTGTACCAATAGATAAATGATAGGTGACACAGTACCAATACTGTTCTGTAATAGTTTGTTGTTCTGAAATGGAAACAGCACAGTAATCAATGTGGAAACAACTAATGGTATCACATGGGATGCTTACTGTTGTGCCATATCTGAGGTTAAACAAACCACTGCCAGCACATCTTAGGGTGCTAGTAGAAAACTGTGCAAACAGTCTAGATTCAACACAGTGGCAGAAGCTCAATGATTTGTTTGTTGAATATGTTTGTGGGATCAAATGATCCATCAGGTTGGACAATAGTAACTTGCCACCACAAACAAAGACTTCTCTGGAATACTACAGAAATAGCCAGTGATGAAATACAGTAGATGTTAAAGGATGAAATCAGAGAGTGCACATACTTCTCCAATGATGAATGTCAGAAAGAAGGCAAAAGTTCTGTGTTGATTTTATACAGATGAACAAGGTGACCTGCATTGATGTCTTCCCACTCCCTAAAAAAAATATGAATGTTTGGAAGCATTAGAAATGCCTATTAGTTTGCCATTTTAGACCTAGCTTCTAGACACTGGAAAATAGAGATGGTTTGTACAAGATCCACATTTTTACATTCAGGCTGGGTAATGTGCCTACCATTTTTGAGAGGCTAATGGAACTTTCAATAAAGGAGCTGCAATAGGAGAGGTGCCTGGTATAGGTTGGCAATGTCTCAGTGTTTGCCATATGTTTGAATCTGCTGCCAAAACCCCTGAGCATTGTACTTCAGTGGATAAGAAATGCAGGCTTGTGTGCACAAGTGGAGTTTCTATAGACATTGCAAACATCACAGTAGTACAGGACAGAGCTCAATCCAAGACCAAGCGAACAGTCTGCAGTTTCTTTAGACTGGCATAATACTATCAACATTTTGTAGCTAGCTTTTCCAAAATCACTACACCATTATCTGCTCTCATTAAAGCTGATTTTAATTTTCAAACATTACGGTTACTACAATGTGCTATGGTCATATGTTATAATTTTCCTATATGAAATGTATTTCCGATAGGTACTTCTCTCTCTTCACAAGATTAGCTTTTCCAATTTTGTGCTGCCGTCTATATGCAAACTTTACAAAATGCATGCCATAAGCCTTCCACATCCCTCTGTTGGAATCTAAATTTCCAATATGTCTCTCATGCAAATCATCATTAGTCAACACTCCACCAACATGAGAGCACTACTATCATGTGATGCATGCGACTCCCTCTATGCACCACTACTGAACTATCACTTAGAAGTTTGGCAGAAGACGTGAGCACTGGAAGATTGTGGGGAGGAAGGGTGGGTAGTTTTAGCAGAGGGAAGTACGTATCGGAAATACATTTTCGTATAGGAAAATTATAATTTCCAATACAGTACCTTCCATTATTCTAGGGTAGTCAATAGCATGCAATCAGTCCCCACAACTGTGAAACCAGTCCGAAACATCCACAGGTCTGTAAGATTCTTGTCATTCAGAGAATAAGGGAATGTCCAGGACAGAAGCGGAAATAGACCACATAGACCTCCTGAGACCCACAACACAGCTGACCAAGTCGAGGGGGGGAAATGGACAACTCGAAACCTGTCTGAGGACTTGTGATTGGTTTACTTGATCTCCAAAACCTCACTCGCTGGGAACCAACATCCACAGAAAGGTAAGAGGAGAGCATCCAATCAGAGGAGTGAAATACATTTAGGCTTCTCACTCCGGGCATGTGTCACTCATCTGGTTGTTGTTTGGTGATTTATGGCGCAAAGCAACGAGGCTATCTACACCAAACAACCAGTAAAAACAGTGAAAGTAAATTAAAGTAAAATGTAAAAATACAGTGAGTTAAAACCAATACATGTCAATAAAAGATTTATATACAATTAAAAAAGACCTATAGTGTGTAAAAAATTAAAAATACAATCTAATCGAACAGTGTCACCATTACCAATGACACTGTCCAACGTCAGGGGTAAACTCTTAGAAAATATATGTTTAAAATACTACCACTGCTCATGATCGTAACGACAGCAGGACAGTAAAATGTGGGATATTGTGACTTGAGTGTCACAATGGCTACACATCAGTGGGTCAATACCTGATAAAAGAAAACGATGGGTTAAAAAACTGTGACCAATGTGTAGCCTTGCCAGGACTACTTCCTCCTTCCGATCTTTATGGAAGCAAGACGGCCAAAGACCAACAGTAGGCTTAATCTGGAAAAGCTTGTTATGACATTGCTCACCCCAAGTCGACTGCCAACTGGCGCGA